AGATCACAACGATGCGGCTGGTGGCTCATAAGAACATTGTTGAGCTTCATGAGGTGATGGCGACACGAAACAAGATCTACTTCGTCATGGAGTATGTGAAAGGTGGCGAGCTCTTTGACAAGATTGAGAAGAGTGGCAAGCTCACAGAGGCTGTTGCACACAAGTACTTCCAGCAGCTCATTAGTGCAGTGGATTACTGCCACAGCCGAGGTGTGTATCACCGGGACTTGAAGCCTGAGAACCTGCTGTTGGATGAGAATGAGAACCTGAAGGTCTCAGATTTCGGACTGAGCGCACTTTCGGAGTCAAAGAGGCAAGATGGCTTGCTCCACACCACCTGTGGAACTCCAGCATATGTAGCTCCAGAGGTGATCAACAAGACAGGCTATGATGGTGCAAAGTCAGACATCTGGTCTTGTGGGGTTGTTCTATTTGTACTTGTTGCTGGTTATCTTCCTTTCCAAGGCCCAAACTTGATGGAGATGTATCGTAAGATACAGAATGGTGATTTCAGGTGCCCCAGTTGGTTTTCACACAAACTCAAGAAGCTATTGTACAAGATCCTGGACCCCAACCCAAACACAAGAATTTCAGTGCAGAAGATAAAAGAGTCTACCTGGTTCCGAAAAGGTCCTGGGGAGACCCGTACAGTAAAGGAGAAAATTCCAAGTCAGAATGCCACCACAAATGCTGCTCCAGCACTTGCTATGAGGCGCAAGAAGAATGTTCATGAAGATGTGAAGCCCCTGGCTGTCTCAAACTTAAATGCCTTTGAAATCATATCTTTCTCCACAGGATTTGACCTCTCTGGTCTATTTATCAAAAAGGAGTGCAAAAAGGAGACAATATTCACTTCTGATAAGTCTGCCACGGCCATCATCTCGAAGCTTGAAGATGTTGCAAAAGCACTGAATCTCAGGATAAGGAAGAAGGATAATGGTGTTGTCAAGATTCAAGGGAGGAAGGAGGGAAGGAATGGTGTCCTTCAGTTTGACACAGAAATATTTGAGATCACGGCATCCTACCATCTCATTGAGATGAAACAAACAGGCGGTGATTCACTTGAGTACCAGAAACTGTTGGAACAGGACATCCGGCCAGCACTGAAGGACATAGTCTGGGCCTGGCATGGAGATGATCAACAGCAAAAGTAGTACCTTTGGATGTCTCAGTTTTGTTCCCAAAATTTGTTAGATTTTTCAGCTCAGAGTGATTCTGTTCGACATGTGTATGTTCTTTTTTAGTAATTGCATTCTTTCTCTTTCTGTGAACCATACCGTTGCGCAATAATTGTTGAGAGGCTGAGTTGTCCAGTCGTTCCATTCTGAAACCTGTTTCTGTCCTGTAATGTGTAATGGTTGTCCCTATCAATAATGAAATAATTGTGTTTGATCCTTTAAAAAAGGTTGAGGTTTCATGTACTTCTCAAATAGCTTCTTTTGGTGAAATGTGCCAAACATTTGCAAGAGATATGCACCTCATCACTTGCTATGGAATCACTTGATTTTAGTCACTCCAGCACATAATAACAGCAGAAAGAACTTCCAAATAGTGATTTGCCATTGCTTCAAGAATACTTAATATGTTCTCTTTTATTTTTTTTATGCTTGAGATTAAAATTGATTGAACCCACTACATCTGAAGAACTGATCTTTTGTCTTATTGGGCTCTCATTTCTTCTCTCAGAGTTTGTCAACCAAAATTTTGAAGAAAATCTTTTACATGTAAACCAGATAATTGCTGTGCTCTGTATCTCAACTTACTTGTGCATAGATTAGCTTTTCAAGTGGGGAATCAGCAAGTAACTCTTGACCACTTTTTTTCAACGCGAAGATCCCCCATTTCCATTAATGACTAACGGAAATACAAATGTTTGAAGATGCAGAAAGATAAAGATACAGGACCCAGACCAGCTAGACAGAGCTAAGAAGAAGAAACTTTTCAGAAAACTAGAGTGGCAAACCCGCCATCAGAAGTACAGCTATCAAGTCTGGCATATCATCACCCACGCAACTGGGGATTACAAAAAACATTTATAGAAGTGCATCAAGACTAAAAGATTTCTTCAACCAACAGACGGACTTGCAGAAGACACGATACATCAAGCAGAGTCGTCTTCGTCTTCTTGTTGATCCTTGTAGCTCGGTTGCTGTCCTCCCATCTTCTGTTGAGTAGCCAGCAGTTCTTTCGCTATCCTTAGCATGGTAGCCACACCTTCTTCCAGCTATTCCTTGTCATTTTTGGCAAACAATCCTGCCCAATAATTCATTAAAGCACACGCATGACAGATTATTTCTAAAGGATTTCTAATGATTTTCTTTTCGAAACAAGCTCTGTTCCTGTTCTTCCATATAGCCCAACAGATTGCAGCAATCCCCCAGGGATGGTGCTTCTCTCCATATGGGATCCAGATTTCACACCATTTCCAGCATTGCTGTAAATTGCTAGGGATGTTATTAGCTCCAAAGCATTTCGCCACAATAGACCATATAACTTTTGCAATGGGACATTGAAAAAATAAGTGAGCGATGTTTTCATCAGAGTCACAGAATAAGCAGCAAGCATCACCCATCCATTTTCTCTTTAAAAGATTATCTTTAGTCAGAATTGCATCATTGGTTAACAGCCACATGAAAAACTTAATTTTAGGAGGAATTTTACCTTTCCAAATTCTTTTGTGATAAGGACCTGCATCGTTTCTCGTTAAACCATTGTAAACGGATTTGACTGAGAATTGATTATTTTTTTCAAGTTTCCAACAAACTTTGTCAGGTTCTTCACCAAAGTAAAATTCTGGACATCCCCTCATATTTGTGACCAACAGTTAGCAAGATCCACATATAACCATCTTCTAAAGTGAATGATAATCTCTCCCTTTTTAGCCTGTGCTACAGTAACATTTTTATTGACACATAATTCAAAAAGTATAGGAACAAGCTTATTCAAAGGTTCATCATATAGCCAAAAATCAACCCAGAATCTCACTTTCTCCCCATTTTTGATAATAACATTTCTACCATGTAAGTAAATGTCTTTGATTTTGAGTAAATCATACCACATTTGGGAGTCATAAAGGCAATGACTAACCTCATGAATAGATTTAGTCTTTAAGTATTTATATCTGATGATCTCTTGCCAAAGACCATTTTCAGTTTCTAATCTCCACCACCATTTGCATAAAGGGCATACCCGGTCTGCAGAGAATCTCTTGCCAAAGACCATTTTCAGACTCAAACCGGGACCTTCTTCTGGCGGTAGAGACTACACGTTTGCACCAGGCCTCCACCACCATTTGCATAACAAGCTCAAATTCATTTTCCTTAAATTCTTAATTCCTACACCTCCCTTCTTTTTATTTTTGCAAATCTTTTCCCACTTGATTAAATGATATTTCTTTTTAATACCACCCCCTTGCCAAAAAAAACTTCCTTCTAATGCTATCCAAAGTATTGATGGTAGATTTGGGTAACAAATAAACTGACATGTGATAAATGGGGGAATTGTTGAGACTAGCCCCAATGAGGGTAGCTCTTCCCGCAATAGACATTGTCCCTCCCTTCCAAATATCTAACCTTTTACTGCTTTTTTCAATTAAAGGTAACCAGTCACAAACATGCAGCCTACTTGGGCTAACAGGGACTCCAAGATATTTGATGGGAAAAGATCCTATTTGGCAATTAAAAATCTTTGCATAAGTCTGTCCCCAACAATCCTCATCATTGATCATTATTACCTCACTCTTATTAAAGTTTATTTTCAAGCCAGCCATCATTTCATACAAATATAACAAGAATTTCATACGAGTAGCACCCTCTAGACTGTGTTTCAAACAAACAATAGTATCATCTGCATATTGTAAAATTACCACTCCGTTAGGAATAATGTGATCAATCAATCCAGTAATTAATCCATTCTGTTGTGCTTCATGGACCATTCTGGTTAAACAGTATGGGCGACAGGGGGTCACCCTGTCTGACCCCCTTAAAACTCTTGATGTATGGTCCAATGCTCTTATTAAGCTTAACACTAACTGTACCCCCAGTTACAACTTGTTTTATCCATTGACACCATTTATCTTTGAAACCCCTTTTCTCAAGGCACTCAAACAAAAGTTTCCAATTTACTTTGTCGTAAGCTTTTTCAAAGTCTAATTTTAAAATCACCCCAATTTCTTTCCTTCTTTTAGTCTCATGCAAGATTTCGTGTAGACACATAATACCAGTCATGATATTCCTCCCCTTCATAAACGCTGTTTGAGTATTGTGAATCAACTTATCAGCAATCATTTCCATTCTAATTGTGAACGTTTTGGTTACCAGCTTATAAATGCAATTTAAAAGACAGATGGGTCTAAACTGCTGAATTTTGCTGGCTTCTTTGATTTTTGGTAACAGAGTAATGATACCATAGTTGATCCTACTAATGTCCACCTGATGTCTGTGAAAATCTTCAAAAAATTGAATAACACCATTTTTTATTATGTGCCAACAACTTTGATAAAACTCAATAGGTATTTTATCAGGCCCAGCTGCCTTGTTTTTCTCCATCTGGAAAAGAGCATTTTTTATTTCATTTTCAGAAAAAGGTCTACATAACATGTCATTTTCAATCTCAGTTAGCTGTGGTAAATTATCCCAAACAGAAGAATCCATCTGTATGTCATATTTTTGTGCAGGACCAAATAACTCAGCATAGTACTCAGTAGCATGTTTTAACAAATTTTCTTCACCTTCTATAATAACACCATCTTTTTCAAGATTTAGAATTGTATTCTTTTTCTTCCTGCCACTAGCACATTTATGAAAAAAATCAGTGTTTAAATCTCCTTTGAGTAACCAATTTTCATGACTTCTTTCAAACCAATATAATTCTTCTTGTTCTAAACTTTTGAAATTTTCACACATCAACCAAGTTTTCCATTCTAATTGGGAAACTGATAAACACGGAGTTTTGCGAAGGTTGTAGGGATGGAAGAAAGGCTTAGGGCAGCTATCTGGTGATCACGGCTCAATCTTTCCAAGGGAAGCAACAATTAGGGCTAATTCAATCTCAATTGTTTTAGTCTTTATCCTCTCTAGGATCCTATAATTAAAGAATAAATACCATAAATAGCTAATAATACTAATATGGGCTGTTAGCCCCTAAAGCCGGCGTCCACCTCTAGCCACTAATGGGCCTGCGCCTATTATAGTAGACGCCGGTCATAATAGAAACACTTAAACCTACCTCTTCCTCAATCTTTTCCAAGTCGGCTAATTCACTCTGATTAGCTTTCCTTTGCTTTCTCAACTCACCCTGTAGATTAAAACCCCATCCTTTAAAAAACTGTTTGATCAATTTGAGTTTCTGTTGAATCTTGTCTAGGGCTGATTTGGCCCTGCAAGGTTTCAACCAAATTCTTTCCACTTCCTTAAAAAAATCAGGATTATTGAGCCAATTGAGGTCGAATTGAAACTGTATAAAAGAAAGGTTTTCATTTTTACCAACTGTCACCAACAGGGGATTGTGACCTGAAATTTCCCTAGGAAGCCTGTTGATAACAGCTTGTGGAAAGATATCTTCCCAGTCTCTAGTCACTAAGATTCTATCAAGTTTCTCCAAAGTAGGATTTTCCTGATTATTTGTCCATGTATACAAGCCTCCACACATAACCAACTCTTTAAGCTCATAAAACTGGATCAAAGAATTAAACAGAGGGGTGCGTCTATGAACCCCAGTCATGGTGTTTCTTTCTTTAGCAAATCTGATGATGTTGAAATCACCACCTATCAAAATTGGTTCATTGTTTGTAGAACAGAAACTGGACAACTCAGCTAAAAAGGCATTTTTGTTTTCTTCCTGAGCCGCCCCATACACTACTAACAAATTCCATTTTACCTTGTTTGTTTTATCCCACAGATTCATTTGCAACATATATTCACCTTGTCTAAAAAAACCTACATCATACAACTCAACTTTTATTCCTACCAAAATGCCACCAGATTTGCCTCTAGAAGGATTGCATTTCCATAAATAATCCTGATTGACATCAAATTTCCTTAACAAAGAATCATCACACCATTCAACCATTGTTTCCTGTAAACCAATAAAATGGAATTTGTGTTCTAGAATCAGGATTTTGAGATATGTAGAGACTCCTTTTTTTCCAAAGGCCTCTACAATTCCAAATAAGTCCTTGCATTGTCATCTTTTTTTTTGTTTTTTTCAGGTTCAGAGGAATTCTAATATCCCCTGATACCTGAATTTGCAAGCCAGGATCTTCCTGGTCTTGCTTCCTCCCCCCTGGGGAGAATTTGACTTTCTTTTTTTTTCTTTTGAATGAATTAGCAGAGAGCTCCGCCTGTGGGTCTGAGGGAAGGTGTCGATGGCAAGCCTTACCTTTTCTTTTGAATGCGAGGAGAACTTCGAACCAGGACCTTAATCATGCAAATCTTCAATTTCCAAGGAATCCTCGTCATGCCATTCAAGAAAGAGAGTTTCAGCATTATCAACTGGCTCAGAATTACTTTCACACACATTAGTTGCATTTGCTTTTAGTTGTTTATCATACAAATAGTGTCTAGCAGTTTCAATTTATTTAATCATATCAAAGGTAGCAAAAATTTCATCATTAACAATAATACCCATGTTTTTAGCTAAATCATTCAGGTGATCATTACTAACATCAGCTAAGACAGTAGGTTTGCTTGGGTTACCTTCTAAGCATCTCTTCTTGGCAGCGGCATCTATCTTCTCCTGAGTGGTGATATGTATATCCCTCTTAAGCCTTTCACACCTTCTTCTTTGTTGTTGATCTGTTTTTTTCTTCTTGTTGACATCCACAGCTTCTACTTGCATTACCTGATTGCCTTTCAAGATACCAGATTGGTCTTCTTGGTGAACTTCAGTAATGGTACTTTCCTGCGTATTTATGATCCCTTCCATTTCCATGCCATCTTCCTGATCTTGGGAGACTATCATCACCTCATTGGTCTCATTGTTCTTAACTGTTTCCTCTTGGATTTTGGATTGTTTCTGTATTTTTTGCTGCAGAATAGATTCCACAGTACCATCTTCATACACTTCATCCATGCACCAGATCTGATGATTGTTTTCATCTCCCCCTTGCTTGGATGAGGTCTGACCCACATCACTATAGCCTTCAAGCTTCCTGATCTTTTCACTTAAAGATTCACTTTCTGCATCAGTCTTCAAAAGTTTCAGGTATGTGCACCTTTTCTACCTGTTCATCATTTGAAGGGACTACTGATTTTTTGAGATCCATAGTCTGAACTTTCTTGCTGTTTTCCTGACTTTTGAGAGTGATCTTTGGAGGAGCAGATGCAGTAACAGATAATGCCTTCTGCTTGCCCTCATAATTCCCAGTACTTGTCCCACCAACTTTGCTATCCTGATTGTCTCTGAATCCAGATTGGTGACCTTTCTGATTATGGCTATCAGTCTTATATCTCTTGGTTGGATGGGATTCACCTTCACTAACCTTGATGCCACTGGATAACACTAACAGATTCCTCTTCTGGAATTTCCCTCTCAAAGATGAAGTCATGAATATACATCCCAAGATTACCTTCTGCTTTCTTTGGAACTCTGAGCACATCTCTACAAGCTATCTTCATCCTCACAAAGTCTGATCTGAATCTGGTTTTCTCATCAATTTCAACCACCTTTCCAACCAATCCTCCTACCTTAGAAACAGTTCTGATGGATCTCTGATCAGGGGGTATTTCTTTCACTCTAAACCAAGCTTGCTGCAGGACACCTTTAGCACCCACACTTGGTGTCCAAGGATCAATTTGCAACTGAGCCTTAACTGTTTTTTTCCCAAAATAACTCCATTCCTTGACCATTTTAGCATTTGGAAACCTCATAACATATTTGTGGTCACTGACTTGCCTAGCATTCCATTCCATTTCCAAGATGCAGAACCCACCAAATTCATGAACTCTACTTCAATCTGTTTACCAGATACATTGCCACTCAGAACTGTCAGGATAGAAACACTATCTTTCTCCCTTGCAACTCAAGGATCAATAGACTCTTCTATGAAGAAAAAACTCTGATCTTCGACTTGAGCAGCACACAGCTCGGGGCCAGTATTCCAAGGAACACACCTCTTACACTCATAAGTCACATGATTATGCAATCCACATATTTCACAAAACAATCTCCTACAGTCCTTGGTAGCATGATTGAACAAACCACATACTTCACAGGCAGTTCTAAGTTGAGCATGTTAATCAGCATTCTTAGCACCCGGAATAGCAGCTGTTTGGTCGTTACCTTGCATCTCTGGCGCCTCCTGTTCGGATCCAGCTTCTTTGGGTATCTCATCATCTACCTTCTTATCTTGTCGCTCATCTCCCTTGGCCTCAGAATTCTCCTGTTCGAGCTGAGACTCAGTAGCTTCAATCGGTTGTTCTTCATTTCCTTGTTGAGCCCGCCTATCCCAGACATTTCGACCTCTTCCCCTCCCTGGGCGCCCTGCTTGAGCACGCTCGTATCCGCCAGCACCGTACCCACCAGCACCATATCCACCACCACCCGCACTATAGCCTCCGCCACCAGCTCCATACCCTCCACCACCGGGTCCATACCTTCCACCACCGGCTCCATAACCTCCGCCACCAGGTCCACGGCCTCCTCCGCCTGGACCATTGAAGTTCCTCCGGCCACCACCTTGACTCATGGTGGCACGGCTTGTGGTAGCAAGTTCAACTCGCACAGCCGCGGCAAAGGATTTCACTGGTGATCCCTTCCACAGATGGCCAACGAAACGTTTTAGATTTGTGGATTTGGTGGCTGGATTTGTGGAATCGGCACCTCCCCCGATTTGATTTGTTTTGGGGGCGTGATAGGAGTAGAGTCAAAGGATGACCGGTAACATGACCTGGTGCTTTCGTCTACCTCTCGCTCACCACCCTGTCGATTTGTGACGCGTGTCTCTGGTAATCTGAACCAGGGTCGCTGACAAATTGGCCCTTCTTTTTTGACACCCATCTGAAATCTCTCCCGCCGTCTTCATCTCTGCTTCCACCTTCCCCATCTGCGGCCATGGTGGCTTCGCCGTATCCTTACTAGACCAACACAGCTCAATTGGTATTGATTTGGGTTTGATCTTCTCTGACTTCACCTCCTCAAATGAAAAAAAGCTTGCAGCAGCTGTTGATTTGAAACCGCGAACCTCTGTATCGATCGGGACTCCAAAACCTCTCGCCTTAGCTCGCCGCCGATTGCTCTCGGCAATTGACGGAAACTCCTCCGTGTAACTCCTCAAGCTGGCCGTCGTTGCCGAAGATGACGGGAGAATCGCCGAAGTTAGGGTTGCCCCTCCCTTGGATGATGGCCCCGCCCCTCCTCCAATGTTCTCCTTACGCCATCGATCCCGACGGGCCAAAAGCTGCGGCCCCGTCGGAGATCCCTCCTCTGCATCTGAGTCCTTGCCCTTGCTCACCGGTATGCTGGTCGGCGAGCGGGGAGTCGCCGGAGAAGGACCCGGGCGCTGTCAGTCTGCATATATTCATAAATAGACATAACTTGGAAAAAAAACTGAATTAGACAAAGAAAATGAAGTAGAGGTACCACTTTCATTGTAAAGTAGTTAAAAGAAACAGTCTGACAAAGAGATCGAGGTACAAAAGAACATATAAAAAAGATGAAACGTACATCACATGTTGGTAAGTTTATTCTTCAGGCAATGTTTGGACTCCACTAGTCCACTTGCACTAAAAAAGAACTCGTCTCCATCAAATGGGACTAAGGATAGATCCAGTAGCTCGTTTTTCACATTCCTAATCAAACAAAGAATCCGTCTTAGATCCACTAGCTCGTTTTTCACATTCCTAATCAACCACCGGAATGACTTCCCAAGTGGGTCAAGAGTCGATCCAATCCGAATAGTTCTAGCCAACCAATCACCGCTATGCCAAGTTGTGCATAATTATGGGATAAACTGTGTGGGCTCGTGATTTTTTTTTTTTTTTGGAAAGATCTGTTGCTGGCTTTCATTGATAAGAAGGAAGCAATTTACGAGGTTTCCGTGGCGCAAGCCGCGCCCCTTTTTGCACGGTTTCACAATTAAGTGAAAACCATGCCACCCCTACGGTACAAGAGCTCGATTTACATGATGTTTATAACAACTAATAAGATCATCATCTATACTAGCAGCCCATTTGGCGCAATCTGTGACGGCTGCACCGGCGTTTGTACAATCATTTCGAGGCCCTTGTTCCCGGCGCGGATCCAGACTCTTACCTCATCCTGTATTGCACTGAAGACTTGAGCAGGTGTCTTGCTGAAACACACGGTGATTTCTCTCTTTCCAGATTTCCCAAATGGTTAGCATGACCATTGATCTTACTCCATGTCTTCTGGCATCCTGGCCACTGTTGCACATGTCGATGAACCATTGGCCCAAGTCGTCCGTCAGACCCCAATTATCCGGCCTCAAGGCTGCTGCCGCAATCCATGTACCAACCTTGACCCAAACCATTCTAGAGAACCAGCGTTCCTGGAACAAGTGTGAGACTGTCTCTAGGTTCCTTACGCACAGTTGACAGAAATATTCATTAGGCCAACCCCGCAGTTGCAGACGTGCAGCCGTCCATATTCTGTTTTGGAGCATCAGCCAAGTGAAGAAACGACATTTTGGTGGCGCCTTCGTTCTCCAGGTGACCTCAGCCGTCATGGAAGTAGTCATTCCCAGGAATTGCAATTTATATGCGGACTTTGCTGTATACTGACCATCAGATGTATGATGCAAGTTATTCTATCTTCCTGTGCTGGGAGCAGCTGCGTGTCTTGTATGCGCACCCATAAGTCCACGAATTCTCCAATGATCTGCGCGCTCATGTTGTGATCCACATCCCCTCACCCATTTGCTGTCTGTCAATGCATCCTTGACTGTTCTATTTTTCCTTTTACTGTGCTGGAACAGGGCTGGGAAAAGAGTTGCAGGTGCGTCTCCTTGTAACCAGCGGGAGCACCAGAATGAAGCCCTCTTGCCATTTCCTAAATCAACTCTTGTTGCGGCATTGAATAGCGCTCTGTCCTCATCATCTAGTGGTAGTTGCATCCCCTCCACGGTCTTCCTCTGTCGTCCCAGGAATACCACAGCCAACGCAGCCGCAGCGCCCTACTGAATTTGTCGAGCTCAATGATATCCAATCCACCATTAACTGTTGGCGTGCAGGTTCGTGATTTTCAACATTTGCGCTTTTACTGTTGTCTGCTGATGCGATGTATCATGTGTCTCCATAAACAAGAGACAAAAGTGATGATATAGATAAATCTTTCCTGCTTTCACCATACAAATTTAGTTGTTCATCGTTTTTCCTTTTTCTATGGCTTTGCTCGCTTATCTGCACAGCTGTTGTATCTGTCGGCAACAGGCAAAGAAATCAAACCGATTGACAGCATCTGACAGCTGGCAAACATGAGGCACCAAGTGCAGTTGAAAATTTTCTATGAGCAGATAATTATCAAATACAATCCTTAGTTACTACTACTTCTACGGCCTTCTTGTGTTGAACTTTGTACTAAAATCTAGCCAAAGGTGAAACTGGAGTTTCAAAGATTGTATGTGACGGTGAAACTAACTGAAAACCTTAGCATCTACCCCCCATCCCAAGACTCTAGTTTCAGACTTCAGAGCTATGTATTGTCAGAGTCAGACAGGCTATACGTACTGACAAGAGCCCTAAAACAGAGGAATAGAGACCTAATCAACCACAATGTGTCCCAGACTCCCAGTATGTGCATGAGACGTTGGATCTGCCAAATGTTAATGGCCCATTTTCGTTTCAAAAAAAAAAACGTTTCGTTAAATGGCCCATTTACCACATCCGTAACAGACCAGCAAAGGAATTTTCTAATAGGTTTATGATGCAACCAAAGAATATTATCCGCTCACTAGCTTGATACATACGTATCTTGAATGCTAAGAGAACAGGCTGATTGAAACCAAATTATCATTGAGTAGAGAGCATGTTAGCGCAACACAATCTTCAGAAGTTGGAGCTGGTCCACTGGGAGATCACCAGGAAAGACTCAATAATCTATATTGGATCCCATCAAGATGGCGTGGAGTAGAGTCGCAGTGGGGGGTTCACCAGGAAAGACAATCGCTGACATTTACAATTTTCTTCTACTCATGTTATTTCAAAGGGAATGAATGTAGCAGGCTTCAGTAGCGGTGGTTGAAGAACTGCTGCTTCAGTCTGTTCTGTTCTGTTGAACCCAACTCCAAGTCCAACTCGGTCTGTTGTGCCAAACATTTCATTTACTTCCGTTATTCTGCTCTGCGTCTGCATCCTGTGTTGCTGCTGTAGCTTACAGTTTTCTTCAGCCCCCTTCATTATTACTTGCGCTATTTAATATTTATGCAGGTATTTGTAAACATATACTATTATTAAACATGGGACTTTGGATGCATAATCATGAGTCTTCAGAGAGAAACATAATGTGCAAAGTTGCTTCATTTCATTGTACAAGTTGCCTCAAACCGTGATAGTTCTGATTATATCCAGGTTAATTACTACAGTGTAGCTTTTGTTTGTGATTTTGTCCAGGTTAGTATACTGAGAAAATCTTTCCTCTATCAAGGGTTAACAGAGATGCTACTGAATGCTGAATAGTGAATACCATCTTCAGGCAATCAGGCTAATTCCATGTCTTGTCATCAAGAAAACATCTCAGAGTACCAAAGCAATGTATTGGTGCAACTCTCCGTTAACATGCCATCATGACGAGCCTGCTTACTCCTTTTCAAGCAGCATAAAAAATACCAGAAGCCCAACAGGAAGATCGCCAGAATGGTAAGAAAGCTGAACGCTTGTTGAAAGTAAGAAACCGCCAACAGATTATGACTTGAACAAAAGAAAGTTGCAGACTTGCAGTCCAACAATATCAGCCAGCACAAGCAAACACAGCCGATGAAGTTTCCAGATTTACACGCTCAGGGTCTCATTTAAGCACAAGCATGGGAATGGCTTAAGATGAAAATTAAAATCGTGCAAACTTTAGCAACAATGTCATGTCCAAATTCCCTACTCCCCATTGACACCCACTTACTGTTACCACAGTACACAAGGCTGAAACACCAACACTTCTGCACAGTTACTTTAGCATATATAATCATCAATCCCCATCTATGTTACATTTGCCACCGTAGTGTACATTAGCACCCACATGTAAGGACAACAGGATTGTGCCAATCTTCACCGCCTCTGTTGGCACTCAATCAGCAAAATACAAAATAAATTATGAACATTCGTCACCGGGCCTTATCAGATTCAGATTTTTCCGGTTGTGCAACAAAGGTGCGCCAGAGGTACTGCCCACTTGCCATGTCCACCATAGTCCAAAATCCGGTTTTCACTGCTGATCCAACCTATAGATTCATGCAGAAAGCAGTCTTTAAGATTCTGAACCAATTGTTACTAAAGGCACAATATTGTATCTTTCAGATGTGCACACAAGGGAAACAAAGAGCTGATGGTCTAAAATTTGAACCAAGAATTAGTTTGATCATCGATCGTGCAGGGGTTCACTGTTATATGTTGCTTAACTACATATGCTTTTTCATGTGCACGATGCGGCTGTTTAAGCACTTAAGTCCAGTCAGCTCATGTTTCTATGCAGTTAATTTTGTAAACAAAATGAGATGCAAGATCCAGAAAGTTTATAGCATGATATTTTTGACGGAGCAGAGGACCGGATGCCAAATGTTTGAAGATCGTATGAGTTCAAAGGAACAGTCGGAGCGTTGGGCAAGATGCCAAATGTTTGAAGCTCTAGTCGGTTTCAAGGCTACCAAGCGTGCTAAATCAAGTGGCATAACATTTTTCTCCCTGAATTTGTGATAACTGTACCATTATTTGTTTGTTTGTTTGCTTGCTTGTTTTAAGTTGAGAAACTGTCATCTTTACTTCTTTTGAACAAAAAAGTTGACCAAATGTATCTGTGCTAATAAGGTACTTTATGAACGGTAACAAGATGGCAGATGTTTTGGAGCTCTAGTGAGTTTCAAGGCAACCAAGCCCTGCTCAATCAAGTGGTACACCCCCCTCCCGTCCTCCCCCAGTTTGCAATTTCTCTTATCAGTGTAAGCTATTATACATGTCCCGTAGTATAGTAGGATTGTGTTGTTTTTTTAAAGGTGGGCAAATGCAACCGTGCTAACTGCTAACAAGGTACGAACTTTTATGCAAGAAAAAGAAATTGCCGGACTCGCATATTGTATATCATTAGCATATCAGTGCTAACTGAGTGGTTCAAATAACCCTGAAATTCATCTAGAGGAGTGGTTGAAATAAGCCTGAAATTCATCTAGATTATGGCCCAAGCAGGAATTAGTGAGTGGTGGCGCAGCAGGGAAGAAGAAAAGCTAAGAATAGCGGGGGTGGAGGAGACAGGCAGACAAGCAGGCGGGTGACACGCGTTACCTTGGAATGGAGGGGCACGGGTGCCCTGGGGGAGGCCTTGCCGTCGGCGTCGGCGTCGAACTGGTCGGTGGGGTCGGCGTTGCGCCCCCGGACGAGGAAGAAGCCGGCGACGGTGGCGGAGAGGAAGATGAGGATGACCCGCAGCGGGCACATCTCTCTCTTCTCCGGGGAACCAAAGAAGGGGGGAATTTCTTTTGACCTGTCCGTCTGTCCCTCCCTCCCTCCCTCCCTCCCTCCCCTTTCTTCCCTAAACTAAAATGATGCGGACCGGAAGCGGAAGAAATTGTGGCACGCGGGGTAGGTGGGTCGAAAGAAAGAGAGAAAGGGAAGCGGGTGAGGCTGCAATGGGATCCCGGCAGAGACCGGAGCGGGCGGGAGGAAGCAGCCGGAGGAGGGGGGACGGATTCGTTTGTGCTGACTGCTGATCTGCTCCTTGCGCGGCGAGGGAGAGGCGGAGAGGAAGAAGGTGAGAGGAAGACGAACGAGTCAGAGTCTTGAGCTTTTTAAGTATTTACCATTATTAAGATCGTCACTTAAAGAAATCGCACTTTTAGAACGACGCTTACAAATTTAGCTGTTTTAGTTCGCGCTTCTTTCATTTTTACCACTTTCGTCTATGTGGCATGTCAGCTCGTGCTGACATGCTGGCACCGGCACGGGAAATGACCCCGTTGTCACCGGTCATCTTTCAATTAGACTAGTCGTTGCCCTCTCCCTTTTCCCCCTCCCCATTTCGTTCGCCGCCGCCTCCTTCCTCTGCCCGCCCGCCGCCCCCATCCTGCTCGTCTCCACCGCCACGGCCACCACGGACGGCAACCATGTCGCATAGGGCGGAGTCATCCAGCTCGAGTAGGCCGTGAGTAGTAGGGTGAGTTCCATGATCGCTAGGTTTGTGGCCTATCCGGTTGGTATTTTAAAGCAGGGCTCCCCTTGATTGTCTGCCCCGATTGCAAGCTCGCTCGTGTGATTGAGCTTCGCGTGGTGCAGGACACTCGAAACAAGGGCCGCAGCTTCTTCAAATGCCCTAGAAACGGGGTGAGTTTTGGTGATTTTCCTTTTTCCTTCATTCTAGCCCTAGCTTGTCTTATTTATTTCTTTTTTTTTGCACAATCTGCAGCTCTGTAGCTTCTATAGGTTCCAGAAGGCTTATTTCGATGAATTGGTCGACAAGAAGATCATCAGGATCTGCTGCGAGGAGATTGAGGAACTGGTGGAGGAGGGAGGAGAAGAGCACAGTGAAGGCGCCCATCTGGGGGTGGAGGGCTTGAAGGACCTGAAGACTGAGGCACTGGAGAAGAAGCTTGAGAAGATGATGTCAAAAATGAACTATATCATTGTTTGTCTTGTGGTTGTTGTGTTTGGAGTAGTTTTCAAATCTATGATGACCTGATGTAGTGACTTTGTATGACAATGAACCCTTTTATTTCAATGAAATTGATTGTTCAGTATGCTTGAATGAATGAGCAGTTGGAATTGTGCATTCTCAGTTTCAAATGAATGAGCAGTTGGAGTTGTTTTCAGTGAATGAGCAGTTACAACCAACTTGTAATGAAAAAGAGCAACTGCAAGCTGACATTGAAATAGGGGCTAATTGTTTGCCATTACATTACATAAATAAGATGTTCTTGACATTCAAATAGGGGTTGGTTTGCCATCACATAACTGAGATGTTCTTCAATACCAAAATAAGGGCACCATGCTTATTGTTTCTGTGCCCATTTAAGTACATAACATAAATTACATGCCATTGAACACAAAAGTTCCAGATCATTGCATAAAAGACCATCCATGGTCACTTGGCCTTGGCCTTGCCCTTGCCCTTGTCCTTCTCTCCATTCTTCTTAGGTGGTGGAGTTTTCTTCACTTTAGTTGCTAACTGCTTCCTCCTTGGTGTAATTTTCTTCGTAGGCTCAGGTTGGACTTCATCTTGTGCAAACAGTGCCCTATTATAGGAAAAAACATATTTAGTTACCAGCATAGTTTTAATTAACCATCTTAAAGAAGATGAAATGAGTACCTTCTAATTGGTGTTTCTGGTAGAACAGCTTCCAAAGCCATTAGTTCCAGGCCTCCTTCTTCTTCCCTTGCTGCTTCAAATTCATTTCTTGTAACTTCCATTTCCTCCCTTGATGTTGCTTCTGCTAGTTCCCTTGCTGCTTCTGCCTTCATTTGTGCTTCTAGGGCCTCCCTCTTAGCTTTTGCTGATGCTTCTCTTGCCAATACTGTTCTTGTTCTTAGAGTTAGTGCTTCATCACCACCAGATGTCTTGGCCTTCTTCCTCCCAACCTTGGCTGGTTTCTTCTTACTTGCTTTCTTCCTACAAAGTGTAGGGTCAATGGTTATCATTTAAAAAAAACAAAAACAAGTAAATCACAGTTAGAAGGCACCTTTTCTTTGTTCCAGTGTGGGGACACTTCCAGCTACTAGCCCTGTGACCATACTCTTTACAGTTTGGGCACCTGACTTGCCTAGTTGCTTTGCTTCCTGTCTCCCTTGCTGGTTTCATCCTATTTTTCCTCAATCTTCCAGGCTCTTTCTTTTTCTGTAGTGGAGGGTGGACTTTGTACCCCTTGGCCACCTCAGGCCATTGATTCCTATCAGTGATGTTTGGAATTATACCTGCATATGCTGCTTGAAACTTGGCCACAGAATAATAGTTGTCCACAAAGGATCCCATGTCAGGGTTCCTCATGCTGGTGATAACTGTCAGTGCGTGTGGACATGGTTTACCAGTTAATTGCCACTGCCTGCAAGTGCAAATTTTCTGAGGTAAGTACACAACATGCCTTCTAACTTCTTCATCTTTGTACACCTCAGTGACCTCAGCTTCAGTAGGGTGGCCTTTGGAAACATGCATGTGACCTAGGCCCCTAGAGGCAGCATTGAGCTGATAGATGACAGCAGGCAATATACCAGGAGGCAATGCTATAGAAATCTTCCTTCTTTTGGCAAATAAGATCATTATCTGCTCTCTAATGGCATCTACCATGCAGTGCACAGGCAGGTCTTTGTGCTCTTTGATCCAAGCATTCCAAGATTCTGCTAGATTGTTGTTTATGTAGTCACACTTGATATCAGCAGAGAACTTGCTTCTTGCCCAAAGAAATGGATGGTGCTCATCAAGCCATTTCTGCACCTCTGGACTAGTTGCCAACACTTTGTCAAAGAAGTACTTGAACTTATGTGGGGAATATGCTCTAGCTGCAGGCCACATATTCTTGCCATACACATCACCTGTGTAGTACTTCTTCATATTCTCCATCAAATGCCTAAAACATTCTCTCCACTCTGCATCTGGAAACACACTTTTTATAGCTGACTCCAAACCCTTGCATGCATCTGTGCAGATTGCTAAGTGCTCCATGGGTCCAATTGCTTTCTTAAGTTGTTCTATAAACCAAACCCAATTGTCTTTTGTCTCAGAGTCAAAGAAGCCAAATGCTAAAGGAAACAACCAGTTATGGCCATCTAGAGCTAAGGCTGCTGGCATGTGGCCATTCCAGGACCCATTCAGAGCAGTGGAGTCTACACTGATATCAGGCCTACAGCCATTCAAAAAACCATCTATACTTGCTTTGAATGCACAGAAGAATCTGCTAAACCTAACTTTGCCTTCATCATCTGTGATAGTGTCTATCTCTACCACACTATCAGGTGATCTCAGTTCTATCTCAGCCTTTATCCTATACAACCAATCGAAAGAATCATTCCACTTACCAAAAAGCTTTTCAGATGCTCTCCTAGTCCCATTGTACACTGTCTGGTAGGGGATGTCAATACCATATTTGAATTTCAACTCCTTTTTCATCTCTGTAGCCCCCATTGATGCCTTCTTCTTTAAGAATTGAACTGCTCTCTCTGCCACCCATTTTATTGAGGCCATAGTGTTGTCTTCAACCCTTTGTGTAGATGCACACTTATGATCTTGTTTATTTATTTGAATCTGCATGTACAAAAAAAGCCATACATAAGTATAATTGAAAGGATTCAAACCACCAGTTCAATGGAGAAGATGCAATGCAAACAAAAACTACAACAAACATGTGTATACAATCAGAAAATGTACCCTGACACTGCCATCATGTTGGGTTCTGGCTCTAAGTTTCCATGGGCAGCCTAGAGCACCACAGCAGACCCTGTATCTTTCTGTGTCTGAATGCTCAGTAACAAGCTGGAACTCCCTTTTTATAGCATATTGTTTAATTGCTAGCCTCAGCTCCTCCATGATGGGATACACAGTGCCTACACACATATCAGGATTGTCCCTGTCCCATTCATACAGTGGCTCGTCATGAGCAATGTCATCAACATCAACAGCTGCTGCATTCATGTCTTCATGCATCTGTGCTGACAGCTGGAATTGGCACCTCTTGTGTACCATGTTCTTCCTCTCTTGCCTCAGCTTCCTTGAATCCCATAGCCTCATATATCTGATCCTCATCAACAAGCTATGTAGCAGTACCATCATCTTTAGGGTTCTCTTGAATGGTTAGAATGCTCCAATCAACTACTACTACATGTTGTTCATCATGGGGGGGTGGGTGCTACAAGTATCACCACAGCCTTCAACATCATTACGCTCTGCACTATGTTCATTAGTCACACCAGAGACACATCTAGCTCTAGAAGCAGCTGAACTAGCATTGTCATTACACACACCTTTCTTGACAACATCAACTGTAAGAAAAGCCACCCTCTCATCCCAGTGGTCCTTAATCATTTGCTGCACATGTTCATCCCTCCTAAGCTTCCACTCAGAGCCAGTCTCTTGGTCTACAACCCAGACTGCAAGTGTTTGAGAAGGCCCCCAGATAGTCTTTGTTGATAAATCATCATGGAATTTAGCAAGAGAATACTGATCGTTCCTATCAAACCAGATGTCATGCTGCTGCTCTGCCATGTCCACTGGACCATATTCATCAGCAACATATGGACCAACCTTAACAACTAGCCTAAATGCACTGCCAGGATCGATCCTGGCATCATCATAGACATGGAAAAACATGAGCAAGTACATACTAAGACCTACACACCTACTGTGGTAAAGTGCTTACCAAGGAGGGCAATCACTAGTGGCCATTGCGACACGGATCGGATGGAGACGTACTACATCAATCGCCTATAAAGAAAATAGCAGAGCAAGACGAAATCAGCGAACATTAACCTAATCCCTAACCCTACTCGGCGCGGGCTCTGTGTCCTAGTTACGAAGTAGGGCATGTACCTTCGATCCATCGATGATGGATGTGCCGAAGAACACCAAGGTTGCCGTCCGTGGTGGCCGTGGCGGTGGAGACGAGCAGGATGGGGGTGGGGGGCGGGTAGAGGAAGGAGGCGGCGGCGAACGAAATGGGGAGGGGTGAAAGCATCTAGGCCCCTAAGTGGATTTCGGTGATTAATGTCAATACAAGATTACTATGACTAACGTGTGTTTTACAGAGGCAATTAAGTTAGGTCATGGTAATGGAGATCGATTGGGCAATTGAGGTTGTCATGCCCCTACGATGGAAATCATTTCGGTTTTCAAAGGATGGACGACAAGGTTAAGGATAACTAGTTCTAAGTGTCAATTGAAGTTGGAGAGACACTTAGAGTAGTTTAGGACTTTGGTTTTCCTTTGGCCGTACTATGAAGGGGGGTATGAACGGGTAGCTTGACCTAGTTGAGTCTAGTGAGTTAGGTGTGGTGCACACTTGTTAAAACTAGCTCTAGGTAGCTCCTATGAATGCCTAAGATCCTTTGGAGCAAACTTCATTCACATATGATCGAGAGTTGAAGTGAATGGAGGGTCAAATCTTGACCGGATGACTGGCTCGGTCTGGACTGTGGACGCTGGCCCGCAGGTCCGATCGATTCATTTGACTAAGGAGAACAAAGTCTGCAGAGTGACCGGACGGCTGGGGCCAGCGTCCGGTCGACTCAAATAAGGGTCGAGACTTGAGAAAGTGTGACCGGACGCGTCCGTCAAGTGATGATGACCGGACCACGAGTATCCAGCGTCCGATTGCGTTCTGAAGAAGCATTCAAGATCGACCGGACGTGTCCGGCCAAGGCCGACCGGACCCGTCGTCGTCGGTCATCACTTGAAACTGCTATGTGGGTTCAATCGGCCGGGCGTCCGGTCAATACGATCGGAGCGTCCGGTCATCCCGCCAGAAGCTCATAACGGTTCGTTTTTTCAGTCGCCTTATAAATAGAAGCTCCACTCGTGTGTGGAGTTACTTTTGCTCATTCCAACAATTTGAGAAACACGTTTGTGAGTGCCAAGAAGAGCAAGGTCCTAGTGAGGTGTTTGTGATTTGAGAATCCAAGAGTGAAACCTCATTAGTGAATCAAGAGTAGACAAGTGTGCATCCATCTTCTCATTAGGCTTCGTGTGGTCAAGTGAGAGTTCGTGCTTGTTACTCTTGGTGATCGCCATCACCTAGACGGCTTGGTGGTGATTGGGAGCTTGGTGATCACCCGGCGGAGCTTGTGCGTGACCCAACTCAAGTTGTGAGCGGTTTTGGGTGATTCGCCGCGACGGAGTGTCGAAGAATCAACCCGTAGAGAGCACTTGATCCTTGCGCGGATCAAGGGAGAGCTACACCCTTGCGCGGGTGCTCCAACGAGGACTAGTGGAGAGTGGCGACTCTCCGATACCTCGGCAAAACATCGTCGCGTTCCTCTCTCCATTTACTTTGAGTATTTACTTTAAGTATTTACTTTGAGCAATTCAATACTCGTCTTTACATTCATAGAATTGCTATGCTAGAGTAAGTTTGGAACATAGGTTGCAAGTCTTTTGTGCGTTGATTTGATAGAAACACTTTTTCTAGGCACAAGGGGTTAATTGGGCTATCCGTAGGATTTGATTATTGCAAGAAAATTTAGAATTAGCCCAATTCACCCCCCCTCTTGGGCATCTTGATCCTTTCAATTGGTATAAGAGCCTCGTGCTTACGTTTTTAAGCCTAACCGCTTTGAGCAAGATGTCTCACGGGGATGGACCTCCTCCTATCTTCGAGGGGGATGATTTTCCATATTGGAAAATTCGCATGGAGGCTTACCTAGAAGCTCTAGATGTTGGAATTCTTAGAGCCGCCTCTCAAGGGTTCCCAACACCTAAGAATGCCGCACAATTCCAAGGCGATGAAGTAAACTTTGAAAAATGGAATGCAAAGGCTCGCAACACCATCTTTAGAGGCCTTTGCAAAGATGTGTTCAATCGTGTAAGGAACCACAAAGACGCCCATGCTCTATGGTCGAACGTTTGTGCGCTCCATGAGGGAACCAAGAGTGAGCATGAGGAACGCTATCATCTTGTGATTAAAAAGC